TACAGGCAGACACTGTGATGAGTGATTTCCCTACATTTAACTCTCCCACAGTCCCTGAAAAAGATAGTATAATTACTAGCCTTGTTTTCCACATGGGGAAACTGAGGCTCAGAGAAGCTAAGTCACTTGTTCAAGGGCACACAGAAGATAAGTGGCTGAGGCCGGTCGTGGTGGCTCACACCCATAATCACAGCATTTGGAGAGGCCAAGGCAGGAGGACTGCTTGAGGCCAGGAGTTCAACACCAGCCTGGGCAACATAGCGAGACCCTATCTTTAAAAAAAATTGTTTTTAATTAAAAGTTTAAAAGTCGGCCGGGCGTGGTGGCTCAAGCCTGTAATCCCAGCACTTTGGGAGGCCGAGGCGGGTGGATCACGAGGTCAAGAGATCAAGACCATCCTGGTCAACATGGTGAAACCCCATCTCTACTAAAACTACAAAACATTACCTGGGCATGGTGGTGCGTGCCTGTAATCCCAGCTACTCAGGAGGCTGAGGCAGGAGAATTGCCTGAACCCAGGAGGCGGAGGTTGCGGTGAGCCGAGATCGCGCCATTGCACTCCAGCCTGGGTAACAAGAGCGAAACTCCGTCTCAAAAAAAAAAAAAAGTTTAAAAATGAGTGGGCCGGGCGCAGTGGCTCACGCCGGTAATCCAAGCACTTTGGAGGCCAAGGTGGGTGGATCACCTGAGGTCGGGAGTTCAAGACCAGCCTGACCAACATGGTGAAAACTCGTTTAAAAAAAAAAAAAAAAAAAGTTCGAAAGTGTCTGAGTTGGGACTGGAACCCGGGTCTGACTCCAAACGCGTTCTCTCCCTGACTCCACAGTACTGCCTGGGAGCCCCCCCCGTCTGCGTTACCACGAGGAGAGAGGGCTTAGGGCCTGCTATTGGAGAGGACAGTGGTGCTGAGACCCAGAGAGGTATGAGATTTTCTTAAGGACACACAGCAGAGCAGACCCAGCAAGTAAAAGGCCCCAGTGGCAAAAAGCCCAGAGTGTCAGGCTGGGTCCCACCTCCAGCACATGAATGAACTTGACAAAGGCTTACTGAGCACCTACTGTATACCAGGGCCTGGCTGGGGGCCAGGGACTGGGTAGTAACCAAGGCCACCCTGGGCCCCTCCCCGACAAGCTCACCATCCAGTGGGGGAGACAGGTAATAAATATGAAATAAACAAGATAATTAGATGTCAAGAGGACGAAACAAAACCGGAATGGGGCTGGGCGCAGTGACTCATGCCTGGAATCCTAGCGCTTTGGGAGGCTGAGGTGGGAAGATCGCTTGAGCCTAGGATTTTAAGACCAGCCTGGACAATATAGTGAGACACCCATCTCTACAAAAAAATATATATATATATTTTTGAAACGGAGTCTTGCTCTGTTACCCAGGCTGGAGGGCAGTGGCTTGATCTCAGCTCGCTGCAACCTCTGCCTCCTGGGTTCAAGCGATTCTCCTGCCTCAGCCTCCCGAGTAGCTGAGAATACAGGCAAGTGCCACCACATCCGGCTAAGTTTACAAAAATATTTTTAAATTAGCTGGGCTTGGTTGCGTGCACCTGTAGTCCCAGCTACTCGGGAAGCTGACGCAAGGGGATCGCTTGAGTCTGGGAGGTGGAGGCTGCAGTGAGCTGTGATTGCGCCACTGCACCCTAATCTGGGCGACAGAACAACACCCTGTCTCAAAAAAAAAAAAAGGATGAAGCCGCGGTGACTGGAGGCTGCTTGTAGATTTCGGAGTCAAGGAGGGCTTCTCATAGGAGCGGGCATTTGAACTGACACCTGCAGTGCAGTCAAGAAGCCACCACCGCAGACCTGGAGTGTTCCAGGCAGAGAGAGCTGCCCGTCTAAAGGCCTAGAGGCAGGACCGTGCCTGTTTGAGGCGACCAGTGTGGCGGGAGCCCCAGATGAGATGGGAGGGAATGAAGGCCCTGTGGCCTGCGGGGTCAGTGACCCACAGTCCCCCACCGGCAACTGGAGCTCTCTCTTCCTGCACCCGCCACCCAGCCATGCCTGGGAAGGGAGGCTGGGGAGCGTGTGTGTGCCAGGTTCTTAGGCCTACCGTTTCTGGCCCTGGCCCTCTGTAGGTGGGCTATGAAGTTGCCACCTTGACCACGCCAGGCTCTGGGCTGGGCAGGCTGGCCCGGGGCTGGCCTCGCAGGCATCTGGAGCTGGCAGGAGGGGGGTCCCTGGGGTGGGATGACAGGATGAGCCTAATGAGGGCTGGCATGGCTAAGCAGCTGGCCCGGGGCCCAGCAGGTGGCTCAAGCGACATGGGTCTCCGGGAGCAGCCAGGAGGACGCCACAGGACACTGGCCATCTGATGGAAACTGAGGCAAAGACCCCCGATGAAGGTTAAACTCTAATATTGGGTGAGACTGGGAACCACCCCTCAGTTTCCTGGGAAACAGGTCAGCTGAGTCATGTTGTCTTTCTTTTTTTTGAGACAGGGTCTCTCTCTGTCACCCAGGCTGGAGTGCAGGGGCGTGATCTCAGCTCCCTGCAGCCTGAACCTCCTGGGCTCAAGAAATCGTCCCACTTCAGCTTCCCAAGTAGCTAGGACCAGAGGGTCCCACCTCTACGGCTGGCTAACTTTTGTATTTTTGGTAGAGAGAGTCTCGCTATGTTGCCCAGGCTAGTCTGGAACTCCTGGGCCCAAGGGATCCGCCTGCCTTGGCCTCCCACAGTGCTGGGATTACAGGCGTCAGCCACAGCACTGGGCCATCATCTTCTCCACCTTCCCAAATTCAATTTGGGAATGGTGCCCCCTCTCTAGGTCTCTGTTTCCCCACTTAGGAAGTGGGGGCCACATGCTGCAAGCTGGCCCCACTGTCTGATTTCTTCCAGGGCTCGCCTGAAGCCTGATTTCTTTTGGATTTGACAGGGAGACCCCTCCATTCCAACACCATCATCTTCCAGAGGCCCTTCCTGCAAACATGTCCCATTCAAGTCCACTCCCATTCAGGCTTTCTTCAAGGGCATTACCAACCCTGCAAGTGCAAGGCTGATTTGAGAGCCTCTGTCCACCTCCCAACCCCCACCCCAGCCACCACCTCCACCTTGAGGCCCCAGAGCCTCTGCCTCACCTTGGGGGACCAGAGAGATAGATGAGCGGAGGAAACTCACAGCCCCTCAGCAAAGATAGCCCGGCCCAGTGACTCCAGATACAGTAATGACTGACGCCGCTCTCCTCTGTGTATTCAGCCCCCCTACCTCCAGGAATGCAACCTTGAGTGCCCCAGCCCAATTCTTCCTCTACCAACCTTCCAGAACAGCCTCTCCCTCCCACACTCAGCAGGCCACCTTGACTATCCCATGCCTCCAGATCCTTGCATGCACAGTCCCTGCCACCTGGAATGCATTTTCCTTTCCCACTTAGAAAACTCCTACTCATCCTTCACAGCCCCACCTCTGAGGCCCGTCCTCCAGAAGTCTTCTCTGACCCTCCTACCCTGAGGTAGAGCCCTCCATCCCCACTCTGAGCTTCCCCAGCCCTGTGTCCCGGGGTCTAAATCTGGCTCCCTTGAAGGACAGCACCCAAGAAGGCTGACACCAGTCAACCACGCCGGTTGCCATCGACCCACATTTGTTGAAACAATCTTTTGACTGTGTTGTGCCTGGGGGCAAACTTTGAGTCCCTTCCGCCCAACTCTGGAAAGCTGTATTCTCTGTTCGCTCCATGAAAACTGAGGCCTGAAACCGGAGGGGCCGGCACTGGTGGTGGAATGTCCGACGGAGTGGCCAGCTGAAGCGGCGAATGCACCCCTAGAAGAAGCTTTTTGCAGCTTCCTGGGGGTGGAGCGGCTTCGTAGCTCTGAACCTCGGGAGTCTTAGGATGAAGGGAGGAGGGAGGCGTGTCCCAGGAGCCCCAGGGCAAGAAGCTGGGGGTGGGAGAAGCTGGCAGTGTGGGTGGGATTCTGCCCTGCGATGACATTCTCCTAGGCCGGCCCCAGACGGGCTTCCTCAGCCCGGGGCACTCAGAGACAGACAAAGAGAGCCATGCAACAGAGACAAGGATGCAGAGAACAGGGAGGGCAGGGGAGGCAGGCAGGAGGGAGGAAGTCAGGGGTCTGGCCTCCTGCAGCCCCCTGCTTTAAGCCCCTGGCTCTGCTCCCCAGATCTGGACCAATGACCAGTTCTGCAGGTAACCACAGGCCTGTGGGCAGGACCGATGCGTTCTGGGTAGGGGGCAGTGGTGGCATTGACCCTGGGAGAGCCATTTCTCTCTCCAGCACACCCCTCCTCCCCACCAATCTGTCTGCAGCCCCCCTGGGCCTAAGGACTCCTAATCCACAAACTACCTCCAGGGACGATTCGGGGCTACCTCTCGCAGGAGACACCTTTTATAAAAAGCAGGAAAGGCAGGCATGGCCTCCCCCAACTTCAAATCCAGGCTATGCCCTTAAGGGACCCCCCCTCCAAAGGGTTTCACGCCCTCTGGCGGCTGAACGGGCTGCTCCAGGAGCCGAGAGGGCCCGGCCCTCACCGGAGGACACCGTGTCCCCGGCGGAGCGCAGGGAACGCGCCACTGACAGATGTTTACTTCTGCGCGCAGCTGGGCCGCGACGGCAGCACCCCGCCCCGGCTCTGTGGGATCCAAAGCCCCCCCCCCCACGGCCCCTTGGAGACCACATGGCTAAAGGGGTGTCTGGGTCTCGCTCTCCTAGAGGCTGAGGGGGGGATTCTGGGGAGGGGCACTGTGCCTTCCTCAGACGGACACTTGGAGGTCTCAGGAGGCAGGTGTGCGCCCGCCCCGTCGGACAGGGACACGGCGGCCGGATTCCGGCTTCGAGAGCGGCTTAGGATCTGGCTCCACGCCCCCGCCCCTCCCCACGCGTTGACCTGTCGCCCCCACCCCGACCCCACCCTCATCCACCCGCTGGCTCTGGCGCAGGAGGGAATCTCCTGGTCTACCCGGAGTCCCCACCACCCTCCACGCCCCGTCCAAGGGGCGCAGGTCGTCCCTGTCGTACCCTGCTGCCCCCCCTCCTGCCCTTGGCTTACCTGCTGTGGGTGCCCGACTACCCGTCAGAGGCGGCCGCGCCGGCCCCAGCCCCTACCCCTGCCGCCGCGACCGCCATCCGGGCCGCCTGGGCCCGCGGTGCCCGGGGGGGGCCCGGGCCGGAGGGGGCGGCCGCGGGGTGGGCGCGGCGCGGGCCGGCCCATGGGGCCCCCCCGGGCTCGCTTAGCCGCGGGCAGCGGCCATCCCGGCCTGGCGGGGGCTGGGGCTGGGGGTGGGTGCCCTGGATGGCCGACGGCTCGGAGGGCGCGGGGCGCGGGGGCGCACGGACGGCCCGGGCAGCCTCGGAGCGCAGCGCGGGGCTCCGGGGCGGTGGCGCGAGGGGCCTGGGCGCTCGGAGCGGCTCCACGGCGCACTCTCCCGCCGCTCCCGCCGCGGACGGCTCGGCCGGCGCGGGGCTGGGGCGGGGCCGGGGGCGGGACTGGGGGCGGTGGCTCGGGTTTCCCCAGCCCTCCCCTCCCTCCCCATCCCGGCCGGAGAGGGACCCCAGGAGCGCAGGTGGCAGAGGCGCGGGAACCAACCAGAGACCCCCCCGCCTTAGACGGCTTTCTCCCCGGGCCCCTGGGACCCCGACGGCTCCCATTTGGGAAAGCCAGGACCCCGAGGCACCCGCAGCTGCCCCGACGCCAGTGTCTTTGGCCCTCGGCCTCCCCCGGTTCTACCGAGGATCTGACCTCGCCGCCAGAACCCCCAAACCTGCCCAGGACCCTTCCGGAAAACGAGGCGCCCAGAAGTCCCCTCACTAAGGAAGACCCTCAAGGGAAGCTCCCAGTGCGGCCCCCTCCCAAACTAGCTGTTTCCCATCCCCACTCTGGGGACCCCCGACGGCGCCTCTTGCCTAAATCCGGAGCCCCAAGACGCCCCCACCTCGACTCCCTCTGGCGAACCAAGAGCCAAGACACCCACCCAGACAGCAGTGGCCACTGCCCACAGCTCCCCTCCTCCGACTGAGGATTGGGGAGTCCCCCTCCAATCTTGCCCCAGGTCCTCCTTCCCCAAAAGCTGAAGGAGGCCCCTCCCAAGAAAGCTCTTCCAGGGAACTGAGGCGCATAGTCTTCCCCTCAGACGGATGACGACACCCGCTGTCCTCAGCGGCCCCCATCAAGCAGCAGGTCCCCCCAGTGTGGCCTCGGAGCCCTGCAGGGGATCTTTCGCTCCTGGTTTCCGCCGGCGCCCCCTCCTGGCACCAAGATCCGCGGGCCGGGGAGCCCAGCCGGTCCCGGGCTCCTCCCCGACGGCTCCGCGCTCCCACAGCGCCCCCTGGCGGCGCCGGGATAACTCGGGGGCGGGGCTAGGGTGGGGGGCGGGACTGGAACTGCCGCGGCCCCGCCCCCGCCCCGCGGGGTGCCCGAGAAACTCCCGCCCTGCAGACTCCTCCCCGCGCCGCCTGCGTTGTTGGGGCCCCCGTGCTCCGGTTTCTCGCTCCCGCCGTCTAGGTTCTCCGGCCTTCTCACTCCGGCCCTGGCTGCCTGCATTTTTCCGATTCCAGCAGCCTGGGGGTTCGCATGCAGATTAGGCCTTCCTAGAAGATCCCGAACCCCCAACCCATGCACGTTCCCCCCAAGGGGCCTGTACAACTTGCAGGGCTGCGCAATGCGTTAGGTGACGGGGACACTCACGCAGCCTTGCCTCCTGCTGCACTAGGGCTGATGCACGGTGCTGTGCTCGTGCGCAGGGTGGGTGCTGGAATGTGTTTGGGGGGGGAGGGTCGGGAGAGCAAGCCTGTGTCAGAGAAGTGGCAGCCCGTTCCACATCTAGGATGGAACGTGGCCTTGGGCCGTCCCCCGTGCCTCAGTTTCCCCACTTGTAACAGGGTATTACTAGTAGATCTTCATTGGGTTCTAGTAAGGATTGAATGTGAATAAGTAAGGGAGTAAGCTGGGTAAGTGGGGAGTGATGTCCCAATGTCTGCCATTACTGGTGTTCCCAAATGTTCACTCCCAGAAACCCACTCCAGTGACACACACACCCTGACTTCAAACACACACCCTTAAACCTTTGTTCCACGTGGGGTCACACCCACTGCCATCTCTCCTTTTTTTTTTTTTGAGACAGAGTCTCGCCCAGTCGCTTAGGCTGCACTGCGGTGGTACAATCTCGGCTTACTGCAACCTCCGCCTCCTGGGCTCAAGTGATTCTCCTGCCGCAGCCTACCAGTAACTGGGATTACAGGCGCCCACCATCAAGCCCGGCTAATTTTTTTTAATTTTCGGTAGAGATGGGGTTTCACCATGTTGGCCAGGCTGATCTCGGACCCTTGACCTCAAATGATTCACCCACCTCCGCCTCCCAAGGTGCTGGGATTACAGGAGTGAGCCACCGCGCCCGGCCGTAATTGTTCAAAAATATAGGCGGGGTCTCGCTATGTCACTCAAGGTGGTCTTGAACTCCTGGGCTCAAACGATCCTCCCACCTCAGCCTACTAAAGTGTCAGGATTGCAGGCCTGAGGTTCTTAGGGCCTCCTTCTCACTCCACTGCGAACTCTCTCTCTCCTTTTCAAACAAACCTAGATGCCCTCGTGAGCACAGACATTCCTGCACAGCCACACCCCGCCCCCACCCCCCCCCCAGGTCCTCACACGCAGACACGCGCTGACACAACCCCTCCACGGGTATCTCACAAGGACAGGAGAACACTCTCCTGCGGGGGTCCTTCCTTACACCATGCCCTTCCGAATGCACTCATGCATACAGACACGGGGTTCACCCTGCCCCAATACACACAGGCACACACACACTCAGCAGATCCTTACACACCCCCATGCTGCCTGGCACTAGTTAGCACGCGCGCGCCTGCGCGCCCCCCCCCCCCACACACACGCCGGGCCCCGTCTGGGAGGCACAGCCACCCTGCACATACACAGCCCGGCAGGAGCCCACCCCCACCCCAGCCCTCCACCATTAAGCTGTCATTAACTGCCTCTCGGCCGCCTCCGGCTCACTGCACACCGCCTGTGCCCCTGTCTCCTGTGCCCCCCTCTCCACCATGGCTGGGGTCTGTGGGGGGGGGAGGACCGAGCAGACACATGGGGCGCAGGACGCACACACATGTGCCCACCATGTGGACGCTTGTAAAACGGTTGCCCTGGAAACAGTGACTTGAAAGACTTGGTTCTTCCTCTGGGATGGTGGCGGGGGGGGGGGGGGGTGTTGGGGGAGGGGCCAAGGGGGGGGGGCGGGGCGGGACGTAGGGGGAGGGGACGCGAGGACCCACACCCAGCTACAGCCACCCCACTCAGGAACACACACGCTGAAATAACCACACACGTGGGCAGAGACCCCGTCGCACCCGGGGACCCGGAGACCCAGCCTTGCTCAGGGCTGGTGCTACGTGGTTATACCAGAAACAGAGTTTCTTCCATACTGACACCCTCCCAAGTCACCCGCACACCCTCTCTGTCACCCACCCACGCAGTGTCTGTGACAGGCGGCGACAGACACCCTGTCACACTCGCTGACCCACACCAAAGCCGGAAACTGAGGTGCACAGGGACACACTGTCTCCTTCAGGACCCCTGCACCCCCTATCCCGGAAAGGAACCGCAGAGACCAGAACACTCCATTAAGAACAGCCCTCTGTGAGCTAGGCCGCGGTGGCCCGTGCCTGAAATCCCAGGGGGTTGGGAGGCTGAGTCAGGAGGATCAGTGGAGGCCAGGAGTTTGAGACCAACCTGGGCGACATCCAGAGACACCCCCATCTTTACAAAATTTTTTTTTCAAATTAGGCTGGCGTGGTGGTGCATGCCTATAGTTCCAGCTATGTGGGAGGGTGGGGCAGGAGGACCCCAACCCAGGAGGTCAAGGCTGCACGAGCCCTGATCGCACCACTGCACTCCAGCATGGGCGACACAGCGAGACCCTGTCCCAAAAAAACAAAACACCAGCCTTCTGAATTCCACCCCTTTCCAAGAAGCTGTCTGGGCTTGGCTGCCCGGGAGGCCAGGGAGTTCAGGGGCCGGTTCTATTTGCAGGAAACACGGGTATTTACAATGCTATATTTTTAAATATTTTTTGTCCCAGACTTGAGCTGCCGCAGGGCGGGGCGGATGTCGCCAAGTACTAAGCCTCTCTGGCTTCGAGTGCAGCCCGTCGATGGGATCTGTAGTCTTCCCAGAGCACAGATGTGGGGAAACTGAGGCTCTGAGAGGAGCAGGGCACGCACAGGCATCTGATCTTTCTTTTTCATTCTTTTTTTTTTTTTTTTTTTTTTGAGACAGAGTCTCACTTTGCACTTTGTCGCCCAGACTGCAGCGCAGTGGCTCAATCTCAGCTCACTGCAACCTCCGCCTCCTGGGTTCAAGCAATTCCCTGCCTCAGCCTCCCGAGGAGCTGGGATTACAGGAGCCTGCCACCAAGCCTGGCTAATTTTTGTATTTTTAGTCGAGACGGGGTTTCGACATCTTGGCCAGGCTGATCTTGAACTGACCTTGTGATCCGCCCGTCTCAGCCTCCCAAAGTGCTGGGATGACAGGCATGAAACGCCGCGGCTGGCCCTGACCTTTTTCTTTCTTTCTTTGTGGAGACAGGGTCTCACTTTGTCGCCCCGGCTGGAGTGCAGTGGGGCCATCATAGCTCACTGCAGCCTTGACCTCCTGGGCTTTAGTGATCCTCCTACCTCAGCCTCCGAGGAGCTGGGACTACAGATGTGCACCACCACACTCAGTGAATTTCTTAATTTTGTAGAGAGATGGGGTCTTGCTGTGTTGCCCAGGCTGGTCGCCAACTCCTGGGCTCAAGTGATCCTCCCGTCACGGCCTCCCAAAGTGCTGGGATTACAGGCATGAGCCACCGTGTCTGGCCCAGGCAACTGACCTCTTTGACTGATTCAAGCCTGCTGGCATCAGGGTCAAGGCCGAGGCAGGGGCGGCTGAAAACCACACCCCAAAGCCTGCCTGCCCTTTCTGGTGTTTGCCTGGAAATTGGGTCTGCTTGTTCACTGCCTCCTCAGATGTCTCCCCCAGGTGGTTCCGGGCGACACTCACCCCACCTCCGCCTGCTCTCTGCCCACTTGGTGGTTGTGAAATTCAGAGATCAGAGAGGTCAAGCC